GGGGGGGGGGGGGGGGTTGTACTTTTTTAAAGTTTGTAAAGTAGAGTAAGCACTCCCACTGGCTGCAACAGGAATTCATCATGAACAAAATACCTCAAGGCTTTGGCAGGATGGCAAGTGCTGAGTAATGTGTGCTGCTTTGCCTCATGCCTATGGCTGAAGGGTATATTAATCAGTCATGCCACATGTGCTGCCATGTTTACTGATTAGATACACAGCTGGAAAGGTGGTTTTATTTTATAAATAAGAGGAAATTTATTTTATGTATTAGAAAGAATACATGTATTAGAAACAAAATTTTCTTTTCAACTGAGAATGGCTCTAGCAGTTCCCGGTCAGCCTCTGAGCCTAGAAATTCATCTCAAAAAACTTAATAGACTTACTAGCAAGAAAATAAGTTATTCATTTGTATTTTTGCAAAACTTAAACCCCTGGCCAAGATTTTAAGGGAAGTCTGCACAAAAAAAGGACTGCAGGCTTCAGCCATGTAACCTGCCCTTGCTCCAAAGAATCCCTGAAGTTTTAAGAACACCCATAAAGATTATTTCCTTTACCCTCTCTTATGCAAAAACTTTTGCAACAACTTTACATTCCTTACACTTGTACTCTCTCATGCTCATACATAAAACAAGAAAAGAATGAAAGAGGAGGGAAAATGCAGGTTATAATGCCACATTTATTGCAGCTAGGCAAGCGCCATTCCTCTGACTCACTTTCATTATGTCTTGACTGTCATTCATTCTGACTTCTTTCCACACAGAGAGTGTTTTCCATATCACTATAGATGGAGTTCAGAAATCTGGGAGGAGAGCATACCAAAGTTCTCCTCCCCATCTTATGAGGGAATTTATTTTCTCTGACAAAGCCAAACTGCCAAATTCATATTTTTAATTAACCATCTTCACATGTCAGTCTGAAAAAAGCCATCAGAAACAGGCAGCAGAGGTCTCTCTGAAAACTGTGCTATATTAGTCCAGACTTCCACATCATTTCCTTTTTCCTCCTCCTGCTGATCTGTAAAGCAGATGAGTTTATATAACACTCCTGACAAAAGCTTTCTGCAGTAGAAGACTGAAGAGGAGATAGCTCCACCCAGCACACTCTTAAGTACAGTGTGGGACCCCACACGTGTGTACAATGGCGAAATAAAGCCTGGGCTCCTCTCCTTCAAGTACACTCTTCAGTAAATGCAGTACAAAGCCACAGAGCTTTCAAGGGTTACACCGAAACCGTGTGTTACCTTCATCCCCCTCTTCCTATTCTTGTATTAGAACAAGATCAGCCATCTGTTATGAACAGGCAAGCGAAGTTTTGGTTCTCTTTCAAAGCAACTATTCATAAACCTCACTCTATATACCTATCTCACAGAATATGCAAAAGATACCTGAGGTTATCTGCAATAATGCAGACAGAGGCAGCAAATAGCACCCTTTCGTGAACTTGATGGGCTTACTTACAATCTGCTTCTGAAATGCTGCTAAGGCCCTGCTGTCTTATATCCCTTTCCCCTCTCACAGGAGTCTTCTGTTCCCTAACTGTGACAGAGCTATGGCCAAGGTTCATCCTACAAAAGTTCCTGGCCCACAGGGAGCCGGGTACCCGCAGGAGGCGGCTCCCAGCAGTTAAGCTGGGACAGGAATTTCCCCTGCCTTGATCTTGGCCCTAACTTCAAACACTGCCTGCAAGTCCACTGCACTACACCCAGACTGAAGCCTGATATATATTTTAATTTGATGATATGCTTTCACATTCACCGTGTTTTTAAGGTTTTAAGCACCCAGGGACATATCCAGATGGGCAGTGCATTTGTGAAGCTCTGGCTCGAGGGCTATTAAGGCTCAAGTGAAAAAATTCAGGAGTGTTTCCTCTGCGTCCCTCGAGCCACACCCTTTGTCAACCACTCCACACTTCTGCAGCGATGCTGGCCATCCCAGCCCCGCTCTCCGGTTTGCAAACGGCAGGAGCCGGGCAGGCCCTGTAGCTGGAGCGGTGCTCGCAGCACGGCTCTGCAGCTCCACTGTCGACCTAGGGTCCGCGCGCAGCATCGCAGCAGCTCCTGCCACGTCCACATCCACGCTCAGCCGTACTACTGACACCTCCGGCCTTGGCGCACATCGGACACGTCCAGAAGGCTCCCTTTTAACTTCGCGATGGTGGAAATCCCGGCGGCAGGGTCCGCTCTCCCACCACCACGTCAGCGTGCCGGCTGTTTTACATAAAATGGCTTCGCACCGAGCAAGCCCAGCGGGGCGGACTCCTCGGGAGACCCCGCGGCCCACGACAGCATCCTCACGGACGCGGCCCGGCGGCGCACCCCCTTCCCGCACGCCCGACGTCCGCCTCGAGGCGCTCTCCCCCCGCCCGCCGCCCCCGCTACCTTCTGCACCACGGCGTCCAGCGTGGCGGCCAGCTCTTGCCGCTGCCGCCCAGAGGCCTCCCTCTCGCGGGCGCTCCGCCCGACCTCCTCCCGCAGCTGCCGCACGTACCAGCCGGCGGGCAGCGCGGCGCCCAGCACCACGGCGGCGCCCAGTAGCAGCGCCCAGCCGCGCCGCGGGCCGGCTCCGGAGCGGCCCCCTCCGCCCCCCGCCCCGGACCGGCCGCCCCGGCCGTGAGACGACGCCGCCGCCGCCGGCTTCTTGGCCGCCGCCTCCTCGGAGCCGCCCGGCTGCGCGCCCCGCTCGTTGCCGGCGGCGGGCGGGCTGCCCCCCTTGGGGCCCCGGTGCTTGGCGGCCGACATGGCGGGACGGGGCCGACCCCGAGCGGGAGCAGCGGGAGCGAAGGAGGCAGGAGGGGAGCGAAGGCGGGAGGAAAGAAGGGAGGGAGGGAGGAAAGGAGGGAGGGAAGCCGCCGCCGCCGTGCGATGGGGCGGGGGCGCCGGCCCGGGCAGCGCCCGCTCCCCGCCCCGCCCCGCGAAACCGCCACGCACGCGGGGCCGAGCCTGGGCCCCCGCGGGGCAGCCCGCCGCCACGCACACGGGGAGCGAGCCGTCTCTGTGGGCACGGGCAGCGCGGCCATCCCCAGCCCCGAGGGGAACGCGGCGCTGCACCGCGCGGCACCCTGTGCGGGCTATAGGACAGACCGTGCTGCAGGAAAACTTAGCGTGTCAAAAACACGCCTTCAGTTCATCGTACCTCTTTTTAAGTTCTTTTGCACTGGTGGCAGCAGTTAGCATAGGGACTGTTGGCTGGTAGGCACCCAACTTGTCTGCCAGCTCACTGAAAGATGTAAGGATGTTCTGGGCATAGACCTTTCAGTGTACCCCCTTAGTCAGTAATGGCTTAAGGGATGGGGGTTGGTGACCTTTCAGGTACCAATGCCCCTTAACATAAAAGTGTCCACACCGCAGGTTGAATATTACGAAAAAATTCTTCTCAATAAGAGCAGTGCTGCACTGGCACAGGCTGCCCAGAGAGGTGGTGGAGTCACTGTCCCTGGAAGCATTCCAGAAAACAGAAGCTGTCATGCTGGGTTGTCCAGGGAGGCTGTGGATGCCCCATCCCTGGAGGCGTTCAAGGCCAGGCTGGATGTGGCTCTGGGCAGCCTGGTCTGGTGGTTGGTGACCCTGCACATAGCAGGGGGTTGAAACTGGATGATCTTTGTGGTCCTTTTCAGCCCAGGCCATTCTATGATTCTATGGTTGGACTAGTGGACTATGTTAGGGGCACTGTTACCTGAAAGATCAGCAAGACTTAGTGGTCTTTCCAACCTTAATGATTCTATGATCATGCAAAGTGCAAGGCAAAAGTGGTCACAGCATCTGACTTTTGTAACTGTGGGTTATAGTTCTGGAAGTGAGTCCTGACTCTGACAAAAAGCAACTAAGGTATGCTGTCTTTTAACCTCAACTTCCAGGCAGCAGCAATACAGACTTCTTCGTATATGCTGATGCAATACATTGCACTTGCAGTTGCTTGCCTTTCTTCAGTTCTTGAATCCCTTGTGCTGAACAGTACTTCACTGTTCCCTTTGAAAGTGGAAGCTAGGTTTATTCTGTCCACAGAATAGTAGAATCATCTAAGCTGGAAGGGACACACAAAGACCATCTAGTTTAACTCCCCTACAATAAACCAGGACACCCACAGCTAGATCAGGGTGCTCAGAGCCCCTCCACTCTGACCTTAGATGTCTCCTGGGATGGGGATCCACCACCTCTCTGGGCAACCTGTGCCAGTGCCTCACCACAGAATCACAGAATTGCCAGGGTTGGAAGGGACCTCAAGGATCATGAATCTCCAACCCCCCTGCCACAGGCAGGGCCACCAACCTCCCCATTTAATGCTAGACCAGGCTACCCAGGGCCCCATCCAACCTGGCCTTGAACACCTCCAAGGACGGGGCATCCACAACCTCTCTGGGCAGCCTGTTCCAGCACCTCACCACTCTCTCTGCAAAGAATTTCCCCCTGATGTCCAACCTAAATCTCCCCTCCCTCAACTTAAAACCATTTCCCCTCATCCTGCTGTTATCTACCCTTTCAAAGAGTTGATTCCCCTCCCCTCTGTAGGCTCCCTTTAGGTATTGAAATGCTGCAATGAGGTCAGCTCACCACTACCAAAAAAACTTTTTTTTCTGTTTAGTGAGGTGCCTGAAGATTCAGAGCAAAATGCATATTGGAAGATGCTATTCCAGAGCTGGTTAGCTTGCAGTCAGGTGGTGTCTGCATAAAACTGGCAGCTTCCAATCCTTGGAGCCAGGATTCTTGACTTGGGACAGTGTTGTGATAAAAGCATCTGATATGACAGAGTTTGTAACTGGAGAATCCTAAATAGCAAAACATGCAAAAATGTCTTCTCTGCTGCTTTGTCCCAATGCTTACCTTTACTTCAGACAGAAATGAAGCCACTCAGTTTTTAATGTCTCCTTCTTTCTTCCTGATAGACATGCTGAGTAACTAGGTCACCAGGATGGACTCTCAAGGATTCTTTTTTATTTTATCGTTTAATTACCAGATGGTGAACAACGTAAGCTGATTCTTTATTGCCCCTTCCTTTCACAGCTATTAGGGAAGAGGCTTACCTAGTAGACTTGTATCAATGCTTCTGCCTTGAGTTTTCTCAGGAGGTTCATAAGGAGTAACATGCAAAGCAATCATGGAGTTAGACCTGGGCTAAGACCAAACAACTATCAAACAATAAGTAGTACTGGTGTTGATTTCAAAATGATCTGCTGGTTTGTTTTTAAAGAACAATGCAACAAAAAGCTCTTGGCAGTTGGTTACTCCCTCAGACCTTGTTCTTTTTCCCTGCATTTTAATACTATATCTTTCTATGTAAAACTAACTTTGAAAAAGTCTGTGTTCATGTCTGTATCTGTTATTTGCCTGTATTAAAGAAATGTGTGGGATGAAAGTGAAGAGGAATTCTGTGCAAGACATACAGTCAATCAATGAAAATAACCCTTCAAAGATCTATGCAGGCTTCTGGGCAGAGATCTTTCATACATAGTTTTGGTGTCTCGAAGACATAACAAAATGTTACAAGCAAGAAGTTCTTTCCAGTTCTGTACCTAGGTTGCTGAACTAGTAGTGCAAATTTGATTCATTTCCTTCTTGTGCTTTTGTGTTATGCTGAAATGCATTTGTTTGCCAAGAATCATTCCATGAGTGGAAGTTCTTTATGCATACATGCAAGCCATAATTCCTTACACGAGAAAAGCTTGGGGTGCTAATTTATCTATTCCTCTATTTGATTTCAGCAAGAAATTCGACCAAGTCTTGTCTTGGAAGACATTTTCCTGTTTGTTTGTTCTCACTTTGATTTCCAGAACATTCTTCTTTTTTTTTTTAATAAAGTTTGGATTGAGTACTCCTCAGAGACAGTGAATCCTAAACTTAAGCAGGATCACACAGCCCCAGATTTCAGACATCTGATCTTTATGCCAAGGATTTCTATGAACCAAAGTATTCAGCCTGTACACGGTATTCCACTTAGTAACTACTAGCATGGGTCATGAAAGAAAAACATAACAGTTAAATGTCTTGGGCATGTGTCACCAGAATTCTGTCACACGAACAGATATGAGGTCAAAAGCCTCTCGCTGGAAAGGATGCTGGAGTGACTACAGGTTATAGATGCCGCAGCAGAACTTGGTTAGTTGACTGCCCTCATCCTAGTGAGGAACTAAGCACTCACACAGGGTCAGTTTTGCCATTCTATTAAATTTGAATAGTTCGGTGGGAAAAAGCAGCAGTCCTGTTTCCTTCTCACAGAACTGACTTCTCCCTGGAATACCAGAAACCTAATTGAAGCGCAGGTAGAGATAGCATTTTTACACCTGTTTTGCAGACTTTTTGTCTTGCCCTTGAGCCTGTTAATGAAATCTGGGCCTGATGGTCTCAGGCAACTCAGTCTTAACATCCATCTGTTGCAGTAAAGCCAGTCTGCCTCGCTCAGTTATTAGAATTAGGGCAAAATATCTTGTGACTTCAAGATATGTTCTCAACTTTGTTGTCATGAGCCCTGGTGTAAACAACAACACGCCTTGCCCTTTCCCTCTCCTCCCACTATAACCATCAGTCAGTCACACACTGGGACATTTCTGACCTGCAGGGCCAGATGCAGCTGCACTTATCATTCAGTACCCATGTTGCCTTGGGCAGGATAAAACAGTGCATTAAATGTAAGCTTTATTGTCCCTGCCAGTTTTACTGATAAGGAAAAGTTATGAGCTAACTTGCTGCAAAGGCTGAGCACAAATTATTCTTTCATTTCAATTAACAGTGGTTCTCTAATGAAAGGCCAGTAATTAAGGCCAACCTGACATACCAGTCAAACTTAAATTGTGCCTGCATGTCCTGTATGAGACATGGACATTGATCTTAATTGACTAGAACAAATGTAAAGGCTGTACAATTATTTTCCCAGCTAACATTGCAGAAGACACAGATGATGAGAAATGAGTGACATTTCTCCATGGTGGAAATCTCTACAGTAAATAATTTACCTCAAGATCTGCAGAGTGGACTATAGCTTCATGTTCTCTGGACAGTGAAGGAACTGAAATTAAAAAGGTGATTAAGTGCTAAGTACTACAGTGTCTAGGCCTGTACACTGGAATCTTCAAGCAAGAATTTGGTGCCTCATTGCCTTGGTCTCTCTTTAGAGCTATAAAGAAAGCTGGGTACTTTAAATGGCTTTTGATCAGCCAGCTTGCTATGGGGAAGGGCAGTGCTGTAAATAAAAAGAAAATACTGTTTTTAAAGCCATCCCTTTCAGGAATACTTTTAGAAGCTAGTTTACTTGGCATGGCATCCCTTTGCCCTGTCTAAGCTGCTCCTGAGCACCAGAGGCTTCTGCAGTTGCTGGACTGTGCAGAAAGCACACAAAATGGTCCCTGAGCCACTGGCCCTGGTGCTTGTTCCAAACATTGTTTGTGCAAGTTTATATGATACAACTGGTTAATTAACAAAGGGCAACAGCAGCCATCACAGCAAAGATCAGAGTTTGTGTTTTCTTCACTCCCATTCAAAATGGATGACATATATAATAAATAATGTATTTGTAAGTGAAAACAGTCCTGTACATGGCAGTCCAGCTGTAGCCTGTCAGTCTTCTCCAAAGCTCTTACAAGCTTCTCTGAGATGATCGTCACCATGCGTCATGCAAAAACTAGGACAAAGTAGTGCAAACATAGTTATTTAAAATGCTGTCGTCTTTATGGAAGCAAGCGGATTAGGCTGTTGGACTTAATCTCATTTAATGTCTCCGAAGGCTGGACTGGAGCATCAGGGCTAACAGGTGCTCTGCTTCTCTGAGAGCCAGTACTGCTGCCTGAACAGGACCCCTGGCTCTTGGAAGGGCAAACTTTTTGTCCTGCATTCATCAGAGGCTGCATTCATAGAACCTACACCAGGCTTTGGTCTTTGACAATGCAACAACTGTCCCACACGGTTCTTGTCACAAGTGTCACAAGTCTCCTTGTTCACAGGAAGGGAAAATCTCTGTCTCCTTAGGCAACAGGGCTTGCTTTCATCTCTGAGGCAGCTGCTAATGACTGCCAGCATTCTGCCCTCCGTGCTTCCTGGGAGGCAAGGCGGGGGCAGCATGCAGCTCCTGTGGCAGGAAGCAATGGCAGCCATGTCAGGTACTGCTGCCCAGCAGGTATGTGAGCCTGCCCGTTGGTAAGGCCACTCAGCAATGAGCAAGGCATCGGTAATAACAGTGCTTCAAAGCTGCGTTCCTCAGCAGGTGCTAACCGGGCCTCGTAATGCCACAGGTACTCAATGCCTCATACTTGCCCTGAGGCCAAGATGGCGACGGGGGGCAGTGGGGGAGCCAAGATGGCGGCGGGGGGCAGTGGGGGAGCCAAGATGGCGGCGGGGGGGTCTCACCCCCATCACTGAGCAGGGAACCGGGGCTAAAAGCATAATTAAAGCTTCCTCAATAGCAGAATGAACAAAAGACAAACCCGGCGTGAAGTGCTGCCCCTACCCAGCACACTCAACCCCCCCCCTCCCCCCGCGGGGGCCCACACACCGCCCAGCCCTAGGGGCGGCTCGGGGGCAGGGCTTTGTGAGAAGGCCGCGCCCATCGCCGTGGATGGGGCGGGGTCAGCCCGGATCGACGCCGCTCTTCCGTAAACACCACCCAGCCCTCTGGCCGGCCTTCCCCCGGCCGGGCCCATTCCGCACAGGGGGGGCGCGACAGGGTTTTTCCTCTGTCACCTCCTCTTGCTCCTCGCCTAGCGCTCGGCTCCGGGAACGCCGCGGGGGACACACACTGTTTGTGTGGGGATGAGGAGGAGCTGACCTGAATCCCTCGGGATAGCTGGCAGCTGGCGGGCAGGAAAGAGTTACTTCCCCCCCCCATCCCCCTCCGCGTTCCCGTCAGAGATGGGCGCGCCCGAGGAAGGCACTCATAGTCCGGGCTGCTACATAAATCCGGGGGGTGTTTAAAGCCCCGGCGAGCGCCGCGAGTGGAGCTGGGCTGCCCGTGTTGCGGGGCTGCGGTAAGTGAGCGGGGGCGGGCAGCCGTGCCATGTGGAGACTGCGGGGCGAGTCCTGCTCCGAGGGTCGCTGCCCTCCGGTGTGGTGTGGTGGGCGGCTGTCCCGCTGCCCGTCGGGGGTCTCCCCCCTCGCGGGCACAGCCGCGGAGTTCCGTGGGCAGCGAGTAACAAGGGCACCCGGGGACGGACGCTGAGGTCAGGACAGCCAGGCTGGCGGAGCGGCTCCCCCTTCCCCGCCTTTTCTCCCCCCCCTCCGGGCCCGTCCTTGGTAACGCTGTTTGTTTTGGTCGGGCAGTGCCAAACTCTGTTAAAAACATGGGGCCGGGGGAGGAGACGGGCCGGGGAGGAAGAGGAGGAGCCGGCGGCGGGACGAGAGCTGCGGTCTGAGCCCCGGCTGTGCGGGGCGGAGGGCTCTGTTCCGCCCTGTGTGCTCCCCTCGGGATGAAGGGGGAGCTGTCGAAGCTGTCCGGAGTAACGCTCAACAAAAGCGCTTTTCTGCTCCTGTGCCTTGCGGCAGAGGGCTGACAGGCAGCGAGAAACCCGAGCCGATGCCGCCTCGCTGATAGGGCATCAGCCCAGCGGAATGAGCGAGATAAAACCTGTGCAGTAGTCCAGCTGGATGGAGCACTGCGAGGGGAGTGCATATGGATGAAGGGCTCTGTGGAACAAAGCTGCACTGTGGAAAGACTGTCTGTGAAGCTGTTATCTGAAGGAAGAAAAGCTTTCTGAACTCTTTTTTCCCCCAGGTGCCTCCTAAGATAATGGCTAAAGGAAGCCTTCGGGAATAAAAAGTGTGTGTTCTTGAGAGCTAATCACACCTTGTGATCTTGGGTACTTCCATAGCGGTCAGGTGGGGTGAAGGGTAACTGCAGGAGCACAGCTGTACCATATCTCTATGCAGTGCACTTCTTTCCTATGTGGAGTGATCCAGAGTTGCCTCAACAGCAGGGCCATCTGTGTTAGTTTTGTTTTTCCTTGTTATGTTAGCTGGAAACCGGCAGGTAGAAAAATGGACTAAATGTACATGTTGAAGGTATTTTTAACTTGACATCACATTTAAGGTTTATCTCTGTGGAAAACCCACTATAGGGATCATGTTCTAGCAGTGGGTTGGGCAGGTGATCTCTAGAGTTCTTTTCCAACCCCTCAGATTGTGTGGGGAGGGGTAAATAAAAGCAACAAACAAAACGGGACTGATCAAAAGAAGGCACTCAATAATAAAATCCAATGCCAAACATATTATACCTAAAGTAAAAGTGTGGTTTTTTTTTTTTTTTTAAGCAGGAGGAGCAGAGCAGGTTGTAAGCACTGGCAGAGCCTCTGATGGATATTATATATTATATATTATATAGATAGATATTATATTAATATTCCACCTTGTGTTAAAACAAGACCCTAATATGTAATGCTTGATGAACATCTTAAAAAATTATAAAATGGTGTTGTTTATTCAGGATATAGAGTTAAAAAGGTCCTAGAAGGCTAAAGGGCTTTTTGAAATATGTAGGTCACTGTGAAAGCAATGCCTCCTGTTTATTTCTAAGGAAACTACAACAGCTACAAAGAGCACAATAAAATCAGTGAACAGAGTGCATTCTCAATAACAAAACACTATTTCTAAATGTGTTCGCTCTTATTAACTGTGTCTTCATCAGCAATAAACAAGTGTGCTGCCTTTGTAATATTCTGCACCAGAAGAGAACCCACAGTATTTTACTGCCCAGCGCCTTACTGTACTTGCATCCACTGTTTGGTCTCTGTAGACGTTCAGCAAACATTGATGTCAGTGGGTGCCATTTTTGTGCACGGAGGAATTCAGTGACACACCTTTGCTTCATGCATACTTCTGTGTCAGGTGCTGTTCTGTCAGACTGCCCCTCTGCTGCCATCTGTCACGTGGCAACAAAATGTAATGGAATATTAGTTGGAAGTTTTGACCTCTAGTGCCATATCGCCAACAGCCGCCTCTGGTGTTGTGAGCCAACGTAAAACAGGAGGTATTTCTTTCAGAGCAGCCCTTGTATTTCTTACTTGGAAACTGTATTAGTATAGACTTAAAATTACTTGTGAACTTGGCCCTTAGTAACATCTGAGAAGCTCTGAACAAAAGCGTAAGGACAAGAAGCTCTTGCAGTGCATGTTATAAAGAATGGACTAAGTAGCTTGATCCTTTATTGTAACTAATTAGAAAAGCCCTTTTTGTTTGTATTTTGATGTTCTCAATGAATGTTCTTTCCTTTATCCTTTAGCTGTTGGGTAACATTAAAACCTAGATGGTATTTCTGGATCCTGCTTGCATATTCATTTGTTTGCTTTGATGTGCTTGCTGCCTTCTCTATCATAAACTTCAAGTTTAGCAGTAATGTTTTGAATGTGCAGAGTAAACCCATTTTCTTCCTCACCACTTGAGGCATTCTATTAGAAATATACTTTTTACAGCAAAAATTACAGTGCTTTTTTTGATGTGCCGTCTCGTTAGTTTGCTGGGACTTAAGTCTTCTAAAACACTCTTAACAGCTTCTCTGCTGAGTGTGCGTTTGTAAGCATGAATTGTAGGAGCAGGTAGATTCTCAGTGCATCAAAATAAGTCATGGCTCTCTTTCAGATGCAACTACTTGTTGCTGAATGATCCTTTGCTTTGGAGTACTGTGTAAATACTTAATGTATATAGAAATCTAACTTTTGCCTTAACTATTTGAATTATCTTGAGCATAAGATTGTGATAGAAAATGGCCATGCTGTCTTGCTTCTGTGGATGGTTTGGTACTGTGTACTGCTAGAAATGCTTTGTGAGTCTGAATATTTGATTATTTGAATATGTTATTAGAACTATCATACGGCTAAGAGGAAGTTCTTGATGATGTATAAATGCTGTGATATTTAATTTCTTTCCTTTTTCATATCTATTTGATCTCTTTCGTGTTCTTTTAATATCTAGACTGAAGCAGTAGACACACTGTGAAGGCAAGGGATTTACGAGGTCTCTTGGGCCAGTACACATCTAAAAACACACAGCAGTTTTTTCCATGGACCACATGCAACATTGACCTTCTGGAGGTTAGTTATTTGAATATGAATAAAGAGGCTTTAGGCATGATTCTAGCTAGGAAATTCAGTTCTGTGTTGATGCAGAAGCAATAGATTGGTGAGTAACACATGCTTTGCAGGCTCAGAATGGTTGCTGTAAGCAAGCAGTTCCACATCAGGAACCTGCAGTGTATTTCTACAGTGAGGTTACTTGTCACAGCTAGTTTCTAGTCAGGTTTAGCTTTGAGATGTGTAAACAAATCATAGTAGAGAAGTTCTGCTTTTGCATACATGAACAAGTGACTCACTTCTAATTGTAACTTAAACGAATACCTTTTCCACTGAAAATATTTCTGAGCCTTTTGGCTTGCCAAGTTTTCTTGCAACTCTTTATTTTGCTTAGACAGTACTATAAATATATATTTCAGTTTTCTTAGGTATGATAAGATTACTGTTTTATTAAAAAACTTGTAATACTATGTGCCACAGCTAGAGGCTCTGAACTGACCTGATAGTCATCTTTCAGTATCTAAAGGGGAGCTACAGGAAAGAAGGGGACAGGCTCTTCAGTGGAGTCTGTGGTGATGGGACAAGGGGAAATGGCCTCAGTCTTAAAGAGGGGAGATTTAGGTTACATATAAGGAAAAAATCTTTTACAGTGAGGGGGGTGAGGCTCTACAGCAGAGTTGTGGTGAATGCCCTGTCCTTTTGAAACTTTCAAGGCGAAGCTGGATCAGGCCCTGGGCAGCCTGATCTATCTGTGGTGTCCCTGTTCAAGGGAGTTGGACTAGATGGCCTTCAGAATTCCCTTCCAATTCTAAGGATTCTATGATTGTATGAACTAGAGCTGCAAGCCTTGAACCTATGACCTTCTGTGCACTGATGTAAGGTCTCTTAGTGACTTCTCCACTAAGTTAATAAACAGCTGTCCTTGTTGATGTGATCCCCTTCAAAAAACAGAGCAGAAAGGCACTCAAATGCATCATCTTTCCTCTTGGGGGCGGAGGAGGAAACAAACACCAAGCAACTATTAATCAACACAATTAACAGGTGAGTATTCATCAGTGGAATAACTCAAGTTGTAAGGGTCTGTTCAGCATGAGCTGGTACCTGAGAAATCACTCTGAACTGTAATTAAGAGCTAACAGAAGAGATCATAATCCTCGTCCTCTTTTGTCTACCTCACAACCCCACAATAATTGGTTCATGTAACTACATACGACAATCATCCTTTTGCTGCCATAAGTGGCTTTTTCAAAATTCAGTGGAGTTGCAAAGTGCAGCATCCTTTGCCTGCTTATGCTGATGCTGTTTAATCATAAGTGAAGTCATGCTACTTGCTGGCTGTGTCTCTTCATAAAATCTACTACAGGGTATTTTGTGGCCTTAGTCAATGATGGTCCGCTCCTTTTGGTATCTGGGCCAAATTCCTCTGGGAGTAGTTATGACTGACTTCCCATTTCTCATTTTAATGTGATGATTAACATATTTTTACTTCCTGACTTAGAACTATTAATCATCTTCATTGAACTATGCAACTGTGCAAGTTCTGTGTAGTTGCAGATTATCTGCCTGGGAGGCAGTTGCCTTATGTAGACAGCACAATGAAGTGTGAAACTTCATAGGATGTTGTTTGTCACGTGCACTGAAGGTAATGCTAGAGGCTTAGAGTTACTGTTTAAATTAAAGCATAAAAACCTATCCACCCTCTCATCCCTGGAGCAGTATTTTTGGGGTCTCTGCCATTTTCAGTCTGATTTTGAGCAAAGTCTAACCCTAAAGCAGCAGGCTGGGCTTCTTGAGGCATTATGTCCGAAACTTAGCATTCTGAACTACTTACCTACCCATTCTTCCCCAGCAACTTCACTGCTTGCTTCAGTTGTTGCTCTCAGTGTCAGTCTGTGGCAGGAAGCTAATTGCTAAACATCACTTGATGATGAAGTCAGGTGGGGGATGGTAACACCCTGATAAATGTCTTTATATTTTGAGATTGAGAGCTTCCAAAATTCTGACAGCAAGCAATCAGGGGAGTTGCTATCAGTAGTTTGAGTATTTTGTTTTTGTTTTTAATTTAATCAATTTAAAGATTATGTTAGAGATGGTAAAATATGGAATGGCAAAAGGGTATAAAAATCTCATACAGGACAGATACAATTTATTAATAACTGCTTGATGCTGAATATGTTGAGCCAGGTCGCTTTTGTAGCACTTTTATAAGGAAGACAACTACTTGTTTCTTGTTCACACTATAATCTGTACTCAACTCTGAAAACCAAAAAACATAGGAACTGTGTTTGTCTTTCCAGATCTTGTTTAATTCACCAGCTAAAGGGAAGCACAATGCCTCTCAATGATGACCAGAACAGTGATTCAGATTCTTCTCGCCTCTCTGAAAGTGCAGCCTCTTCTAGTGACTCTGAATATTCAAGACAGAGCTTTAACAGCGATTCTTCAAGCAAACCCAGTTCCCCAGCTTGTAAGCCTATTTCAACCTTACCTGTGCTGTACATTGACACTTAAGGATAACCTATCCTGTGTATCTTTCATGTAGTGGTTAGAGCCTGGGAGTCTGAATTTGTGTTTAAGGGTGTTAAATGTAACGTGTGACATTTTCATGGCCATGGAGCAGCATATCTTTTTGTGTGGAGTATCACTGATAGCTGTGTCTGTGGGGGGGTGTTTCTGTTGGCTTCTTCCCTTTAGAAAATGTAAGGAAAGTGTGCCACTACAGATATCCTAGTCTGAAGTTAATCTTGATGTCGGTAGCAGTCTCTCACTCAAACTCACTTTGCCCTTTATTTGCAAAGGGTGGATTTTGGGCCACGCTGTTTGAAATAAAATCTTTTGCAACATAAAATTAACTTAGTGTTACCTAAAGTTGCATGAGTTTAATCTATGATTTTAATATTTCTCTAGTAAACACTAGGATTGAACACTCATTTACACAAGGAAGATATTCCAGTACTGCATCTTGAGTGGAGCCCTCAGCACAGGAAAGATGCAGAGCTCCTGGAGTGGGTCTAGAGGAGGGCTACTAAGATGATCAGAGGGCTGGAGCACCTTTCCTATTAGGAAAGGCTGAGGAAACTGGGCTTTTTTAGCTTGGAGAAGAGAAGGCTCCGGGGACACCTCGTTGTGGCCTTGCAGTGCTTGAAGGGAGCATATAAACAGGAGGGGGCTGTTTATGAGGGTGGATATGATAGGAAAAGGGGAATGGTCTTAAACTGAGATAGGGAAAGTTTAGGTTAGGTTTTAGGAGGAGGTTTTTCACTCAGGGTGGTGACACACTGGAACAGGTTGCCCAGGGAGGCTGTGGATGCCCCATCCCTGGAGGCATTCAAGGCCAGGCTGGATGTGGCTCTGGGCAGCCTGGTCTGGTGGTTGGTGACCCTGCATGTAGCAGGAGGGTTGAAACTAGATGATCTTTGAGGTCCTTTTCAACCCAGGCCATTCTATGACATTTCCTGAATGAGTATTGATTAATAAGACCTAAATTAAATGTGCTTAGTGTTGGTAACTGTAAGCATTCTCCAACTGTGCATACCTGGTTAGTGTCCAAATAAGTGAAATCTTGCATTAAAACAGGCTTGTTAGTGGAGCAATTGGCAATTAGCTCTTGACTCCTAAAGAGTAGTAATGACAGAACAATAATCGCAAATATTAAATGGGAGAACTTGGTGTTTAAAAGCAGGGATCTTAGAAACACTCCTGCTTTTGAATATACTTTACATGTTTACATTCTTAATACATATTTGTTTAAGAAAGGGGCTGTAACTTATGATGCATTTGCTATGGTTCTTAAGTAGGAGTTTATTAAATGGGTAATGTTAGAACCTTCTCTGCAGGCAGGAAAAGCATTATCACATGCTCCAGATTATAGTGCAAGTCTGGGATCTGTTATTGCCTGTGCTTTTCTTCTGGTGAGTCCTATGGAACAACTGGCAGGAAGTCTGTGGACTATAAGGTCCCGTTTTGAAGGAAAGAAAACTACCTCTGTTAAGATGCAAAAACTGCTTTTAAAATGTGATGTTACCCACCCATCCACAGACACATGCACCCGATAAGCTGGGAGTTTCCTGAGTTAGTGTTTTAGGAAGATATAAAGGTCTGGTAATCCTAGCTTCTTTCTTCTAAAGCACTAGAGTCCAATTAGCAAGAAGCAAAATTTTTTTGCCTTGTTACTTGTGTGCAAGACTGCTGATTTTTAATAATACTTTGACTTTTATTTACATACCATAGTGCTTTGTCTTTGTTTTGTTTGATTCAGCAGCAAGTCCTCCCAAGATGGTTACATTTGATGAACTGATGGCAGCTGCGAGAAATTTATCCAACTTGACATTAGCTCATGAAATTGCTGTAAATGCAAATTTCTGTATAAAACACGAAGACCACCCACAGAACAGGTAAGGGCATGAATTTTGCACAAAGCAAGATGGAGATTAAGAAGAGAGGAGAAATACAGCAGCACTAAAGCAAACAAACAACACTACATTTTGAAAGGTTATGGATGTTTCTAACATAACTCCAAGAATCACTGTTGAAGCTGTCTTGCTCAGAGCAAGTATTGCCATCCAACTGGCTTGATACACATAGATCATCTTATGCTCTGTCTTATATGTCATGTGGAAGGCTAATGTCACATGAATTCACATAGTGAAAATAATGAGTATGGATCTGTTTTGTGTAGTTTAAGTCCTGTGGAGAAGATGAAATAGCAGGTTTCTATGTAGCTGTTTGTAGTAGCAATTTGGTCTCGTGATGGTAAGGAAGATGAGGCTCATCATTAATTTATCTCTAATACTGCACCAAAGGAGATGTAAAAGGATCTGGAGATCCAGAGGAAATGAGAAATACTTTCCTCATTGTAGGTGATTAAAATGTTCTTGATTACAGATGACTTTTCAACTTAAAAACATCATCTCTTGAGGGAATTAACATGAAAGACAATCAAGTTTTTAGTTGCAGAAATCCATTAAGTGATAATTATATGATGGATGCATTTTTGAGAAAGCTGAGCACATAACACACAAGGTTAGGACAAACAGTACAGATTTAGTAAGGAAAAAGGAAAGGCAGTATCTCTGTAACTGCATTTAAATTACCAGCAGCACTTTCTAATACAATGTTTTGGGAAAGGCTTCTTTGCGTAGGTCATGTTTTAGGAGCTGATGATCTACAGCACAAGAAAAATATTTTTTCAGATCATGTGAGAGCTGGCAATGTGTTGTATATTTCCAGCAAGTCACTGGGTTAACCCTAAAACATTTCTATCAAGAATGAAGGCTATTTAGTGGTCTTTTTCTCTGTCTGTAATTGACTTCTTCCACAGCTTAGCAGGCACAGTGAAACAAATAGTACACAAGGCATTTTGGGATCACCTGGAATCGGAACTGAATGAAGACCCTCCAGAATATGAACATGCTATCAAGCTCTTTGAGGAAATTAAGGAGGTAACATTTCTTTTTTTTTTTCCCTCTCCAGTAATTTTGTCAGGTCAGAGTCTAGTAATTCACTGAAGGTTCTGTTAATTCATAGTCAAGCTAACATTTTGAGTGCCTGTTTTTAAAATGAAGCCGTGATTATACAGAATATTTATAATAAACTTGTATTAATTGTGATTATGGCCACACACATGGGTGCATGTCCAGTCAGCTTTCAGTGCAGGATGGTTAACTGCAAGTCAAAACTCTTCTCAAAACTTAACATTTCCACTGGTTTCTGTCTGACTGCACAGCCTTTTTCTTGCTACCTTAGATTGTGTCCAGTCTTAATCTATCCTGTTACAGCTAAATACACTTGACACTAATACTAATCTTATTTTAACGTGTTTACAAAGTGCTTTGGTTTTTATTGATAAGCTTTTCATGTTTTTTCCCCCTACTTTAGATTCTTCTTTCCTTCCTGGCTCCAGGAGCAAACAGGATTCAAAATCAAATTTGTGAAGTTCTGGACACAGATCTTATAAGGCAGCAGGCAGAACACAATGCTGTTGATATTCATGGGCTAGCTAACTATATAATCAACACTATGGGAAAACTATGTGCTCCAATAAGAGACAACGATATAAAACAGTTAAAAGCAACTGAAAATATTGTAGAATTACTGAGGTTGGTATTTGGGTGGTTTTTACACAGGAAAATAATCTCATAGAGCATCTGGGCAGTGAAAGATGGTGGGGAAGGTCTTAAATAGTGGCATTTTTTTAATTGTTCTCAAATTGTAAGAAAACTTGTGCAGCAGAAGCATTAAAGGCAAGAGGCAATTGCTGTAACATTCTGTGACTGGAATGTAATGTCTATCCTAATGCACTGAATAGAGTGCCTGAATTAAAACTACTGACTCTGAGTAGTTAAGCACTAAACAGCAACACCACCACCACTTGAAATAATATGTTTCTGAGACTGCTGTTTCAGTCTTGTTCATTCTTTCAAAATTCAGAGGGCATTGTTCATTCTACCCTGAACTTTTTATTGCATGCTTTCTGCAAGTATTCAGACAAAAAAAAGTAAAGCTGTGACTAAAGTAAAGCTACATTTAAATAACAAAAAAGGAGAATCCTTCACCAAAATGGGAATTAAAGTGCTAATGAAGGTGTGTTTCACTTCTACTGATGAAAATCAATGGACTGTTCTAGCTTCCTTATTTTAAAATCTCTCTTCTTTCAGGCAAATATTCCATGTCCTGGACCTGATGAAAATGGATGTAGCAAATTACACAATTCAGAGCCTTAGACCATACCTTCGACGTAATTTGGTGGACTATGAAAGAACAAAATTCCAGGAAATTCTTGAAGAAACACCAAGTAGGTGTTCTTGAAGCTGTATTTCATTTAAACCTTTAAAATGTAAATATATTTAAGGATGTGTTAGAGAATCTCTCAGTTGCAGTTAGAGGAAAAACTCCAGTAAGCAAGTGCTGATTTATTGTTAAGCATCTTTTGTCTATTGGGTGTTTTCTTACTAATCTGTATTTGTCTAATTAAGAAGTATCTGAAAAGCAAACAGTGACTCTTAGTGTCTGGAGGCAGAAGCCTGGTGTTATATATTGAAAGATGAGACTTCTTTTCTACCCAGCAAGTCTATTAGTCTGAAGTATATGTGGAAAACCAGTGAGTGTGTCTGAAAAGTCAGATGGGGCAGAAGTTTTGAAACTTTTTTTTAATGCAAATTTTGAGAAGTTTCTTTAGGTCACCTTGATCTGCTGATACACATTTTGCTTAATGTTGCAAAACAGCTTTTAAGAGAATATTTTTAAAAGGAGAGGAAAAAAGTAAACTTGCATCTTAAGTATTGGCTTTTAAAATGGGAACCCTAAACCATTGACGCTGGCTGTGTTTATAAATGCAGCCTTAAGTAACTTAAAAAGGATTCACTTGCTGTTAATGCAGTTTCTCTTTTCACCACTTCTTTCCAATCCTGTGACCCAGCTACTTAGTGGCCTCCCTGAAAGAGGAAAAAATGAATTGGGTCTTTGGAGTTTGAGGGTCTGCCCCTTCTGACTTATCATTAAAAAATCTTGGCTGAAGTCCAACAGTTTCTTACTGGGTTTGTACAAACTAGTTAGAATATTAAGATGGTCAGCTGAGATGGTCATGAAGAAAGCAAGGGAGAGACTGACTTCTCTGAAGGCATAGTGACCACCAGTCACTCAGTTTTCAGAAGTACATATTAACCTTGCTTACGTTGTATATATTCAGCTCTCTTCTTCAAGTTATTGTTTTGAAGGAAATATACAATAAATCTGTGCTGATTTGCGATGCTTAGGTGCTCTGGATCTCACAACAGAATGGATAAAGGAATCAATAGAAGATGAATTGTCATCTATTTCCAATGAATCATCCTCATCCCCTGGTGCTCATCATAGTTCTAAATCAAGTATTAGTCCTACACTGGTGCTAAACAATGGCTACTTGAAACTATTACAGTGGGACTACCACAAAACAATTCCAGAGGTCAGTGTGTTCCAGTGTCTTGAGATTTCTAGCCGTATAAAATATTGATGCAGTATGATAATCATGCTATTAATGACAACAAGTGAAACATTCGTTTGTGGTTCTTAATCTTCTGAGCAGTAAATTTGGAAATTGACTAGTCTTGTTTTCTGAACTGAGATGGGGCAAATTCAATAACCAGAAAAGTTTGTTTTCTCTCTCCAGTCATAGCTCACCAGCTCCACCCTAAGAGCAGTCATGCCCATGGTCAAAAGCTGGACCGTGTACTGATGGTGCTTGGCTTTCTTTATATGTGTATACATATATACGTATTTTTTTTGAGAGAGTGATCTGTCGTACCTTGTTTTCTCAAACAAATGGCAATTTGTGGGAATTGGTGGGATCAGATTGTGAATCTCTTACTTTATAACAGAATCATTAAGAAATTAAAGCTCACTATAGTGGATATTCATAGTTTCTGTATGCGTGTAAACTATTGCTTCAAGAATCACTGGTATTTTCCTCCAACTCCTGATTACCAACCTCTGCCACTTTAAAGTAAGCCAGTGTGAAATTGTCTATCAGTCAGGGATAAAATTAGCAACTGCAGCAAGCATCTTAGCTGCTATCCTTAGTGGCTTGGCAGAGAATTCCCAGACTACATGGGGGTGCTCTTAGCACTCCCAGTCAACAGAAGAAAAGAAAAATACCTTACCATTCTTCTACCAAGTTTGAATAAGAGTTCCACACAGGCACCTTCTGGTGAATCTAGACTGTGTTGAAGTATGAGATTACTATTAAACAGTTGAATATTAATGCCCAGCTCATCAGTGGGGGGATTTGGTTATCGTGAGATTTCAAAAACTGATTTTTAAAAAACTACATTTAGCTGTGGTAATTACATTCTTGGTATGATCTGCTGGCTTTTTGCCTGCAGCATTATAGGTGACTCACAGAACCTGCTCAAGTGGTTGAACTGATGTTTGTCATGCACAATTGTTCATCACTGCCCATCAACTGCAGATGATGGCACTTCTGAAAAGACAGCTGAATCCAGAAGACTGTTCTGCCTAATCTTAATCACTAGTGTCTTTTGGATCTCAGAAATATGCCACATCATGGCCTGAATTGTTGGCCACAAATAACTGAGAGCAATGAAGAGAAATAAGATGCAGTTTCTCCAGTGTTCTGTTCACTGGAGGCCTCATCTTTCTTCCCTACCACAGTCTGACTTTGGTACTTGTGCATAATGCCATTTTGTGCAGTGCTGCATGTTCCGAATGTTTTAATGGCTGTCTCTTCTGATTTTGCATATTTGTTAGTTAAAAGTGTTAATGTTTCATAACTAAATCCTATTTGTCCTCCTCCCTGCTTTTTTCCCTCCATATCCCTAACTGGTATTATTGTTTTGCTCCTAGACTCTAATAACAGATGAAGTTCGTCTTCAGGAGTTGAGAGAAAAGCTGAATCAATTAAAAATCATAGCTTGTGTTTGCCTCATAACAAACAATATGGTGGGTGCAGCGACTGTAAATGTGCCTGATTTTGCCAACCAACTGAAAAGAGTCTCTGTTCCCCTTCTTGAAGGCATGAGCAAGAAGTAAGGCCTTGTTTATCTCTCTTCATACTTTTTAACAGGGAATATCAAGCGGGTCTAAAAACTCAGGGAAAAAACAGTTCAAATGTTGTAGCCACCATTTGTTAATCATGAATGGCAAAAGAAGGAGGCATTTGGATAATACTCTCTGTACTGCACTTTAACTTCTGGTTAGTCCTAAAGTCAGGCAGGCAGTTGGGCTTTGGTGTTTGTAGATCCTTTCAAACTGAACTGTTCTAATACTAGAAGGGCTGCAGCAGTATATTCCAAGTCATTTTTGCCAGTTGATTCAAGTTTACTTTAGGCAGCTTAAGTTATATGGCATCAAATGTTACTACAGCTTGTGCTACAAGCAAGTATGATGCAATCTCAGAGTGTCTCAAAAAAAAAACCCCAACAACTTCCATTTTACTTTTTCCTCATGAAATGCTATGAATCGAGCCCCCAGGAATGCGTAAGCTCCAGGTCACTGTGAGTCCATGCCATTGCTGCATGCTAAAAATGATTTTTTTTTTTTTTCCAATTGGCATCCTTATCTTACAGATGCTAACTTGTATCGTAGAAGTGCGAGACCTGCTGATAATGTTTCTATGTTCTACCATTGCAGAAGGCAGGGCATTGAAAATGAAGGGGAAAAGAGATAGTAAGTTCACTTCAAACTGTTACAGAAACTGTAAATCTTGTTAATGCTTTTCTATTTCTTTTTTCTTCCAGAACTTTTGATTTGAAAGAAGCTCTGAATGCTATTGGTGTTCAGATTTGCATCAAAGTGAATGAGTCTCTCACTGAAAGAGATCTTCCCACTCTTAATGCAGAAATGCAGAATAATTTAGTGGGTCAGATTGCAAGTATTGTTGAGGAGAATAACCCCGTCAGTTCCTTGATTGGTTAGTAAGAAAATACATCATTGTCTTACTATATGTGTCTATATAGAAGCTGTTAGATAAATTTTAAAACTTACTTCCCTCAAGCTTAATTAGCTGTTTTTAAAGCACTTTCTTTACTGCAGTAAAATACTGGATTAGCTAAGAGTAAAAAAATGTTGCTTACCTGGAGTCTGTGCTCTGGGTATGCTGCACGGTGTAGTTTGGTGTAGTGAGGAAAAATTCTATAAGTGTCCTTAAAGGCCAAGAGATAGCAGAGCCTTGAAAGATACTCAGTCTCTCCTCTGTCATTTTTGGGTTTAAACCCAGAGGGTTTTTGGTTGGTATCTACAATGTTTTAGTTAAAGTACTTTATTGCAACAGGGTAATACTGTCTGCCTCTCAGGAGCCAACTGTAAAAAGGCTTCTGTCATTGTTTCCCTCTGCAAGAAGTGCTTGGGAGAGCGTAGTTACCTCTATTATTGAATTTCTTGTACTGATGTATGGAGCACTTGGAAAGTGAGTGTGTCTTCATCTTGGATTTACACTGTTCTGAGCATGCTTGTTATTATGTTTCAGATAAACGGATCCAGTTGTTCATGAAAAGCTTGCTTGCTCTTCCAAGTTTTCGGAAATGTATGCCTACGCTGCCTGGAGGCCTTTCTGTGATTCAACCAGAGATGGAACTTGTTGGATCTCAATTTGCAAGCATTGTAGAATTTAATAAACAAGTATATGGACCATTCTATGCAAACATACTTAAAAAATTACTTTTTCCTGAGGCAGCAATAGGGAAAGCAGAAGTAGAAGCACCCAGTAACTGAAGAAAAAAAAAAAAAAACTATTTCTGTACCCCTTTTTTTACCTTCTGTCTTTTCTTAATAGAGAGATTGTGTTCTGGCTCCCCCACTAAGAACTCCAGTGACTATTAATGAGAGCAATCTTTTAAATTGTATATGGATAGTTTCTGAAATCCACTGGAAGAAAATTAATTAATTTCAATTACATATATATTTTATTGAACTAAGTCTGCTTAATGGATTGTGGCACTTGTATTTCACCTTTTGAGACAAGCAATTATTTGTATTTGTGGTGGGTAAGAGATGGTGAAGTACTAACTGTTTTGCCACCATTAAAACATAATATTTTTAAAAATATATATTTACATATATTTACATATGCTATTTTGAGATGACAGAATAATTGTAGATAAAATGCACTATGCTTACATTGTATTTTTTAGAGCAGCGTCTAATTAAAAAAAAAAATCATGATTCAGAAAAGACTTTGAAGTATAAAAAGAAATATAGCATAACTGCTTTTGTAACCAAATCCAAGTTTATAGTAGGTCAACTTCTGGTGCTCTTGCAAATACTGGAACTAAACTTAGCCCATGTTATGTTCAGGAATGCCAGTATTACAAGTTGTTCTGGTATGGAAGTTGCAGAAGAAGCATTCATTATTTAAAATAAGAATCATTCAGTAGTTGTCAATTGGACAAGATAGGGAGATGAAACACTTCAGAAACATGATGCCAGGTGTGGGGTGGGAATGCAAATATCTGTATGATACCCATCTAGTGAATGTCATACAGATTCCAAGTCTAACCTCTAATATATATACTTATATTGATCTTAATGGATATTAAGTATTTCTAAGGTTGGGCTTTCTGACCTTTTTATTCTTGAAAGCACTTGAATTTGGGAGATATCTTACAGAGTACAACAGAGAGCCTTCACCTTCTATAATCTGTTGGATAAGGGCCTAGAATGTTCAAAATGTATTTTGGGTATTCTTGTGTCAGAAAGCAGACAACCAGACCCCTTGCAATTCTTGAAAATGTGATTATGTTCACTCTCAGTAGGTGTCTGAGAGAAGTAAGTCTTCATTTTAGATTTATATTGTTCTGAATTTGTTTTTATCAAAATCCCTGCAGATTCAGCCCCAATACCTAGTTCCCATTTATGACAGCAAGAATCTTACATACAGAAATAGAATAGGCTTGGAACTGAGAGAGATGGAAGTAAACTTATGTAAGTTTACATGTTTTATTTTGCATATTTCAGATTACTGGGAATAGATACTGCTGCAATACTTGATATACATGTGTTCTTATCTATGAAAATGAATCATAATTTACTTGAAAATGATCCTTTAGTATATTATCATACAATGGTCCTTTTAAAGTGTCAGATATATATAAAAATTCCATGTGGTACAAGTTAAATAGCTTGTTTTTAATATTTTATACTACAATCTATTCTTACTGATGTGAAGAGTTGCCCATAAAAGCTTAATGTGCCACACATATTGTATATATATTACTATGTCTATTATAACTGGGCATTATTAGCACTGTGGTTTTGTAGTCCATTTTTACAGAATTGTGTACTCTTTTTAGTAAGGGAAATGACTTCTTGTCAGCTGTTCCTCAGTGTCTGAGGACTTTGGTCACATGTACATGGTATGAAAATCTTTTTTTTGAAAGGCCTTGTTATAAAACAAATGGCTGTAGTGCACTTCTGTTCTATCCTTTGTTTAAAAAAAAAATTGTAAAAACTGAATATGTACTCTGAAGGGAACTTCTATGGAAGCCTGAAAAACCTGAGAAAGGAACTCTTAGAATATAGTAACTGTGCCAGGAGGTAAAATGGATTGTTTCAAACAGATCTGGAACTTTGACATGCAATCCAAAGTCAGCAAGAGAAGAATGCATTTCAAAAGCCATTACGGGAAATTAATTCTGTGATTTGCTCCACCCTTAGAAATACATACTTTGAGTTTCAGCCAAAAGATGATTTTTTTTATGGATATTGGAAGAACGTTTATAATGTGACTATGAACTTTATCTTAATACAATGTATACATTCTACTGTTTAAAGAAAAAATTTTTTTTGGTGACTTGAAAAGGGCATTTTATAGCATGGCCTATGTTTCAAGTGCTTGTTTAATGTATCTTAATTTTTATTTAATGTTCCAACCATCAGGATTGCATCTGTTTAATGTCATGTTACTGCATGCTGTTGCGCTACCCTAGCTGAAAAGCATTTGCCTCCACTCTGAAGCAGTCCTTGTGAAACAAGATGCCATGCTGTAACAGCTTATTTTGTTGAAATACAAATCTTTGAGGTTTTGTATGCATTCAATTGTTTGTGATACCATTGTGCTGAAAAGTCTCTTACGCAAATTGTTTCTGAAATGTAATGGGTCATGTTAAATGCTGAAGATAAAGGACTGCACTAATATGTTGTGGCTCTTTTCTTTTTCTGTAACTTCTCAGTTTCAGCTGGAGCATAGAGCAGAAGATATTACACATTTGGAGCTGTCTTTGACATCTGCCTCTTGATGAAACTAATGTACTCTCTGTGTGATTGTAGGTCACACTTAGGCCCTGGAGCATGTCTAGAGATGAGTAATGGAGTTGTGAATGCTCTGGAGTGCAAGTCTTACAGGGATCGGCTGAGGGAACTGGAGTTGTTCAGTCTGGAGGAGGGAGGCTGAGGGGAGATTTAATTGCTCTCTACAGTGACCTGAAACGAGGTTGTAGAGAGGTGGGGGACAGCTTATTCTCCCAGGTAACAGTGATAGGATGAGAGGGATTGGCCTTCAGTTGTACTGGGGGAGGTTCAGGTTGGATATTAAAAAAAAATTTCTTCTCAGAAGTCTTAGAAAGAGTGGTGTTGCAGTGGCACAGGCTGCTCAGGGAGGTTGTGGAGTCACCATCTATGGAGGTGTTTGGAGGTGTTTTCAAGAAATGTGTGAATGTGGCACCAAAGTACATGGTTAGGGGGGTATGGTGGGGGTGGGCTGGCTATTGGACTAGGTGATCTATCAGCCTTTTCCAACCTTATTGATTCTATAGCTACACTCTATGGGCAGTATGTTAATGGTAACAGGCTTCAGACTGGTGGATGAGTGGGAATAATTAAAAGTTTGTTTTGATTGCTAAGGAATTGTATTAATGTAACGGGGGCTGGTGGAGTATTCATAAATGAAGTTTTTACTAAATATTAAAGGTGGTTAATGTATCAATATTGCTTTTTTTTCCTTATCTCTATCTTGATCATCTGCCTAGGTTGGCTAGCCTAGGTTGGCTAGTTTTGGTGGACTTGAGGTATGGCCTGGGCACAGATACAATGTGCTGAGATTATGCTGAAAGCAGGATGGTTGTTGGATTCTCTTAATAATACAAAAATAATTCCTGCCCCTCTGTCAGGGCTGCATTTGCTGACTCCTATTATATTTTGTAAGCCCAGATTCTGAAATAGTATGTTGTTGCACTTGTAATTCACCACTCCACTGCATGTGTCTTTTTAGTTAAGGATGAATGATAGTGGGCCTTTGCCCCATATTGCAATGCATACTAACCACACACTGCAGAAGGAAGAGGCTCAACAGGCAGAATGGGGTTACATCAAGGAACGAAACAATTACTTGAAACCTTGACGTACAGAGCATGGACTGAATATGGTTAAGGCCAGCCTGGGAGTATTTCTTCTACATGTGCGGTGTGTGTGCTGGGATGGGGGAGGCTGTGAAGGGTACAGTGAAGACTGGGAGTTCTAATGGTTTAAGGGTTTGTAAAAAGGAAGCCTTTGGTTATTGATTTAATCCATTCCTCTCACCTCCTCTGGTGGGGAATTGGTAAAGGAAGAAGAGAGAGAGAAGAGCATTAAACTTCAGTTTGCTGCGTGGATTTGCTCAGGTCCTGATTGCAAATATTTGTTTACAGAGATTGTTGTGCCTCAGCTCTGTTCTGTGTAAAACCAAGACTGGAAAACTAAGGTTGGAGAGTTGAGATCACAGAATCACAGGGGTTGGAAGGGACCTCCGGAGATCATCAAGTCCAACACCCCGCCAAAGCAGGTTCCCTACATCAGGTCATACAAGTAGGTGTCCAGGCGGGTCTTGAATATCTCCAGAGAAGGAGACTCCACGACCTCCCTGGGCAGCCTGTTCCAGTGCTCTGTCACCCTCACTGTAAAGAAGTTCTTGCACACATTTGTGTGGAACTTCCTATTCTTCAGTTTCTGGCTGTTTCCCCTTGTCCTGTCTCCACACACTGCTGAAAACAGTCTGGCCTCACCACTCTGCCCCCCACACCTTAGATATTTATAGACCTGGATCAGGTCCCCTCTCAGTCTTCTTTCCTCAAGGCTAAACAGACCCAGTTCACTTACCCTTTTTTCATAGGGAGATGCTCCAGGCCCTTCACCATCTTTGTGGCCCACAGCTGGATTCTTTCCAAGAGATGACGTTCATCCCCATGCTCCACATACACAAAGAGCCCTCAGGATGCAGCCCTGGCCCTGGCAGCTCCTCGTGTCCTAGCGTTCATTGCCACCCGGGAGGACACGTCCCCACCCAGCTCACCTCTGCTGCTGCACGTGCACCCCATGGGGCTCCAGCTGCCTGAGCCAGACAGGTCAGGGAAATGCAAGTGATGGCTGAAGGGATGGGCAGCGAGAGCTGCTGCCAGCAGTGCCCAAAGCACAGCCCAGCAGCCAAGACAAATGCTCGCTCCACCTCCAACCTCACACACACACGCTCAGCAGGAGTCCAGGCATAAGACTGACTGGGCCAGGCTCTGCCTGCGCCCAAAGCTGAGCAGTGAGGGTGCTGCAGTCACAGAGCATCACTTGGTGACATCACAGCCCGTTGCTTGGTGATGTCACTGACCTGCAGGCCCCTGCTCAGCCATGGCGGTTTCCTGCCTCCTCTGCGGAATTCCTTATGCAGGAGGCAGGAGAGCTCTTCCCCCCTCAGGATGAGCCCTGTGATTTGACACCTCCTGTAGCAGATGAGAGAAGGCTCCTCAACTGCTCCCCCTGGTTTGGGTGGCCATAGCAGACCCAACCACCAGACGTCCTTTGTTTGTCTGGTCCCCACTTTGAACCAGGTCACAGATCATCACACCCACAGGTCACACAGACCCCAGCGCACATGCAGACCTTTCTCCTGAGCATGTGTAGCCACGGAATTACAGAGTCAGCAATACTGTCATTGTATGGAAAGTACCGACCCATTATCATGAGGAGAACGGACTGGAAAATTACGGACTCTGTAACTTTGGTGTACAAAAATTGTGCAGGTCATTTTGTGCTTGTGTGTGATCTATGGGAACCCACCCAGCACCCAGGTTTGCAATCCTGAAATAAATAAGCAGTGTCTCTTTTGAGTGTGTGCTGAGTGACTTGTTGCACACCTGGCGGCCAATCTGCTTTTAGGACAACAAAACCAGAAAGGCACAAGCGGGGGCATTCAAGCGGAGCTCGAATTATTCGGGGCGTTTGTGCGCTAGGAACAAAACATTCAGCCGGGCAAGGCCGGACCGCTTCGGAACTGCCCGTGCCCGGAACGTTCGGACTCCGCGCGGAGGAGCACGGACGCGTTTGTTCGCTACACCGCGTCACGCTCCGCCGGGTCCGCCGGGTGGGATGGAGGCGCTGGCGGCAGAGTTGGGCGCCGTGACGGCGGAGCGGGCGGCGGCCCCCGTGAGCGCGGTGGAGGTGAGGGCAGCGGCGGAGGGCAGGAGGCGGGGCGAAACCGCGGGTGGAGGGGCGAGGAGTGGCGGTTCTTCTGCGGCAATAGGGAGACCTGGGGGGTGCTGCTGGCGCCTGGGTGTTGCCTCCGGTCGGTGCTGCGCAGCACGTGGGGCTGCTGAGGTGGTCCCAGTCATCCGTCGGGGTGTTTCTGCTCGTCTGAGCTGACTTTGGGCGGTCTTTTATTCTTTCCTAAGCGAAGTGAAATGTAACTATTGTCAGAAGCCATTACCAGCTGTCACACGTTTGGTCACCCTTTGGAAACCAACTTTTCCCACTGTGTGTTTTGGTTGCAGGAGAAATGGAGGCTTCTACCCGCGTTCCTCAAGGTCAGTGGATGCACCGCCCAGGCGGGAACACCCCGAGCCCTTTGTGCTTCACAGTTCTGACAGGGCAGTGCAGTAGTTTAGGCTCCCACTGCACCCAAGGCCCTCCTCATGGGCTTTATATCAGCTCCCTACAAACGCTGCTGTTGGGTCTGCAGTTGTCTTTGTTGCAGGGAAACCCGGATCTGCATTCTGCAGAGGCTGCAGTGTGCGGATATCTCTGCTCACAAATATCGGAGTTTGGTTGAGCTCAGAGATTGCTTGATTTCAGTGCTACTCTCATAATCTGGTATAAGGTAAAGGCACAGTTCTATTTAAAATGAATTGGCTGTAATAACAGGTAACAGGCAGCTGGGAGTGAGAATGGAAAAGGGCAGTGTGGTGAAGGTGAAGCCTATGACATACATAGGTACCTCTGCAGAACAGTGGCCACCTCTGCACCTCTGTAATCAGTTTCTGGAAGTGCTGCCCCCTTCAACCAGGTATCTTTCAACCTGACTTTGTTAATTCCCTTCCTTCTCAGTGTACAGTCCCTTCAGCCTTTTTTTTTTTTTTTTTTTTTTTTTTTTTTGTGGCAGCCTTGTAAGCGTGATCCTTGCAGGAAAACAGGGTGCTGTTGGTTCGGTGATACTACATATGAGCAAGTGCTCTCTCTTCCTACCCAGAAATCAAATTCAGATTTATTATGAGAGTCTGTCTTGTCCTTGTGTAGCTGTTCCCTTCTTTATTAACTTCCTTTACACTCCACTTCTCTGCTTTTACTCCATCTCGTTCTGGCAGCTGCCTTTCCCAGGCTGCAGATCACTGTTTTCTCAAGTAACACAAATGGTTAGTTGTGCTACAAAAAGACAACAGACTGACAAAATATTTTGACATGCAGTCACTGTCTTCTGTTTATATAGCTTCAAAATCTGCTGGGTGCTCACTCTGTGCAGTTCCTGAGTTACTTCTCTGTCTCAGCTCTGGTGTAGACCTGGAAACATATAGTGTGGAACAAGACAGATTGCTCAGGCACATCTAAGAAATTTGTCCACTGAAAAAATTTAACAGTGATCCAAAAGCACTTATAAATGCTTATATTTCAATGTCTGCCTTATATGATCGGTGTTATTAAAACTGATGCTATTTGCTGCATGCATTTTTCAGGTGAAAGGACTTGTGAAGCAGCACATAGACTCATTCAACTATTTTATCAATGTGGAGGTATGTTTTCCTGGTGGGAAGGGACTGGCTGATAGTAGTCAGAAAAAATGAAATGGTTCAGTTCTTTTTTCTTTTTCTTTTTTTTTTTTTTTCAGATAAAGAAAATCATGAAAGCCAATGAAAAAGTGACAAGTGATGCTGATCCAATGTGGTACTTGAAGTAAGCATGAAGCT